AGTACTGAACAGATGTGTGACTCGACTGTCAATTACAGAATCAATAACTCATTTAAAAGACACTTTACTTTTGCACCATTTCTCACATATTGAACACATCTATGATATCAACCAAAACTATCCACTTTCTACTAATTTGCCTATTTATGAATTCATTATATTTTCGTTTCTTATAGTTATTAATAGACTATTGTTTCAATTGATGTATTATACAAAGTTTCCCAGAATATTCTTTAATGAGTTTAATTAATTGAATTTTCTTTTAAACAAATAATAAAATATTTAATTAATCATTTTGTAATTAATTATTTAGCATAATTATATAAATTGATTGAATTTTTAAAAGCATTTTGCATAACAACAGCACTAATGATAAACTACAACAAAGTGACCGAAATTCTGGTCAAACTATGGGTGCAATAGGGACTCAATGTTCAAGTATTGGTTGCATTGAAATACTGTAACGTAATGTTTGTACGACTAATACAAACACAACAACACGTGCTTTACATATGATTTGGTGTTTTGATTGTGAAGTGAATTAAAACTAATAATCCATTGAATTATGAATAATTTGAAACTCGAGACCAATGATGGCATTGTCTCTTCAGACCTATTGTCACGAGTCAAGTGTATGACAATAGACACGGACCTCAATGTCTTATATGTGGTCAATAGTGACAATCAGTTGATTAGTATTGATGTGAACAATAAATCGGTAATTATTTAGCCATTAATTAGTTTGTATGAAATGCTAACCACTATTGTTGTCAACAGTGGACCAAATGCTGTGATATATGCCTCGAAGTGGACTCATATGAAGCGATTTGTGTGGAGTTTATGTCTGAAGAGCGGAGTGTATTCATAGCCCTAACCAATGGACACATCGTTGTCTTCAACACTCTGACCAACTCTTACGAAACGGTTGGATGTCTTTCGGATGGCTTACAGTCTGTGGCCTTCAGTCTGGACCAGGAATTGGTTGCTTTGTTGACGAAAAACAATTCACTGATTCTCATGAATAAGTTGTTGGATGTGTTGACCCAAAAGGATCTCAACACCGATGAGTTCGGTTGCCATGAATCAGTTTCAGTGAATTGGGGCTCAAAAGACACACAATTTCATGGCGAAGGACAGCGGGACTCACGAAGACAGCAACAGATCTTCAAGTCGTTCAGCGATTTTGATGATAAGGTGTCGCGAATCAGTTGGCGATCCGATGGACTCTATTTCGTCACCTCTTTCTTCGACTCCAAGACAAGTGAATATAACTTAAGGCATAATCTGTTTGAATTGATTGCTAATTGTATTTGTTTTTTATGATAAGATTATCGCAAACTTCAAGTTTGGAGTCGAGATGCCGTTCTTCAGTATACCAGTGAGTGTATCAGTGGTTTAGAAGATCTGATTGCTTGGAAACCTTCCGGTGCTCTCATTGCGAGCTCACAACTGCTGCCAAATAAACATATGATTGTATTCATTGAGAAGAATGGTCTAAAACACGGAGAGTTTGAGTTACCGTTTACTCCAAATTCATTTAAAGTACAACTCATCTTATGGTCAAACGATTCACAAATTTTATTAGTGTTGGGCTCAGAAACAGTGGAACAGTTGTCGACACAAATTCTGATGCTCTGGAGACAAACCAACTATAAATGGGATCTCAAACAGAGATACGATTTTAACAATAATATAATTGTTACCGCCAATTGGGATCCAATTGATGCCAATCTCCTACACGTTATCCTAAGTAATGGTCAATATGTTAGGTACCGATGGAAATGGTCTGTCGATTGCATGGAAGGAACGGTAGCAGTGATTGATGGGAATAGCTTAAAGCTGACAAACTTTGGATATGCTGTCATTCCTCCACCATTTTATTCGTATTCAATTGATTTTAAGACACAAATCCGTGAAATGTGTTTTGCGAGCAATAAATTAGCGGTCGTTCTGATGGACCAAACGATCGCTTTGTTTGAAAGAAGTGCTAAAAAGGAAACCAATGAATTGAATGACACCTTCTTTGCGATCACTTACGAGAATATGACGAAAGAGAGCGAAGAAGTGTTTAATTGTTTTTATGTCAATAAATGCGAAGACATCTTAAACGTAAAGCACTTTACTGTCGATGAAAGTGGACTTCTCTATGGCATTGAATCAAAGCAACAATTAGTTTGTTTTGATTATCGAAATAAGTCCCAAAAAATATTTAAAGTTTTAGATATTAGTGATGATAACGTATTGGCCATGAGTTCGCTGAATGACACGATAGGAATAGTCGTAACCAGTGGTCAGCTATTAAAAGTGAATTTAAAAGACAAATGTATTACTGAGTGGACGGATAGAAATGACAAGAAAGTGGTGTTTCCTAATCGTTGCCTTCGACTCGAATTAATTCAAATCGAGTCCACAATTGTTTCCATTTGTTTGTCTGAAGACTCGACACTTTATTTAGATAACGAAGTTTTGTCTCAAAATAACTGCAACTCTGTTATCAATTTTAACGACAAATTCTTAGTGTTCACAACGACTGACCATTTGTTGCATTGTTGGCCAATAAATAGTGATATATTTGAAGCGAATAAAAATTACTGCAATTTGAAGGCCCGGAGTGTGGAAAGGGGTTCCAAAATAATCGGTGCCACAAGTGATGCAAAGATTGTGCTTCAGATGCCTCGTGGAAACCTTGAGACTATTCATCCGAGACCTCTGCTGTTGGATATCATAATGTCTCAATTGGATGCACTTGAGTTTGATTTGGCATTTGATTTGTTACGCAAACATCGGATTAATTTGAATTTTATTTATGATTATAAACCCAAAGTTTTTAACGAAAACATCGAAACATTTATTAAACAAATTGGCGATAAAAGCATTGAATGGATTAATCTGTTTTTGACTGATCTGTCGGACGAAGACTTTTATAGCAAGTTGTGTCATACAAACAGACATAAAATGAGTAAATTCTGTTCAGAAAGAGTGGAAAATATGAGTAAAATTGATTTGGTTTGTGATTCTATGAGAGAAGTGATGAATAGATTGGATCCCAACGAGTATTTGCATCCAATTCTTCTAACATTTGTCAAAAAGCGTGTCTCAGAGACAGACAATGCGTTGAAACGGATTAAATCAATTGAAGACACAGTAATCCGAGACAAAGCCATCAAATTCTTGTTATATATCATAAACATAAACACACTTTTCGACGAAGCGTTGGGCACTTATGACAACGATTTGTTTCTTATGATTGCCTCCAAATCACAAAAGGATCCCAAAGAATATTTAGCTCTTTTGGATCAATTGAACCAAATTGAATGCTTTGAATACAAGTGCTTTAAAATCGATATGCATTTGAAACGATATAAGAAAGCGTTGACTCATATCTCAAGACTTGACGACCACTTTGAAGAGTGTCTCGAACTGATCCGAACTCATAGTCTTTATAGGGATTCAGTCGTTTTGTTTGAGAGCCAAAGCGATGACAAGAAAAGCCGAATCTGGAAATTATACGCCGAATACCTCTTCAATAAGAGATACTTTGAAGAGTCAGCCATTGCTTACAAAAGAAGTAATGATTTTGTGAATGCAGTTAAAGCCTATCAGTTGAGTGGCAACTATTGTGCAGCTATTGATTGTGTCCACCAGTGTTCCCATCAAATCAATGTCAAAACAGTGGCTCAAAATCTGGCCAAACATTTGGCAACCATTGGTAAGCATTTTGAGGCCTCATATCTACTGGAAGTGTACGCCGAAGACATAAATGAAAGCATAAGAACTGTCATCGATGGCCACGAATGGGAGCACGCGTTGCGACTCATGAGTCGGACACCAGATAAAGAACTTATGGATTATCTGAAGACAGAATTATTAAAACATTTCGATTTGGTTTTAGATTTGATAACAAAAAGTTATGACACTTTGTTGAAACATATGAACCGATTAGAAGTGGTGCGACAAAAGCAAATACAAAGAACTCAAGAATTTGAAAGTTACGACAATTTTGATGATAAATCGGAGATATATTCAGAGACGAGTGGTTTGAGTGATTCGCGCACTAATAGCCAGAAATCGACGTCGAGTTCACTCGCGACCAGAAAGAGTCGAAAGAACACCAAAAAGACTGAAATGAAGAAATATGTGCTGAAAGAGGGGTCAGTCGATGAAGACGTTCAACTCATTTACGCCATCAATGAGTTAATCAAAACTATAGACCGAACTCAAGAAGAAGTGTCTCTTCTCATCAAAACTCTTTATAATTTGTACTATTCTTCGGAAAGGGGTCAGTCGATGAAGACGTTCAACTCATTTACGCCATCAATGAGTTAATCAAAACTATAGACCGAACTCAAGAAGAAGTGTCTCTTCTCATCAAAACTCTTTATAATTTGTACTATTCTTCGGAAGCCAACAGAATTCAACACGAATTTGAGATTCTGTTAAATTTAGTCATAAAAGTTATAAAAGAGATTTGGACTCAAACTGAACTTCAAGACCAGTCTGAAGAGTGGTCACCAAAATATAAGATAACCGGTAATTGCATTCATTGACTCATACATTGAATTTCGAGCATTAAATTGATTTTTTACATAAACAGATCCGTTAATCATAAGAGCCCCTGAGTTGCGCAAAATAGACTGGAAATTAGCATTGGTTTGAGTTGACATCACATTTGAATTAAATCACGATTTATAACCACTTGTAAACAGTAATCCATGTTTATATCAATGTATGTTCATCAACTCTGGATGTCCTGTTCATACAATATTTTAAATAATTTATTTTTTAATAAAGTTTTTACAAACAAGATTTATAAAATGTATTTCTAAACCATATAATATAGTAAATAGGGTCTCACCTATACCGGTAATAACTTATCATACTGTACCAACAATAAATTGTTTACCGGTAAATGTCTTACTTTTAGCGTTTTATCACGTTACTAAAGTAAGTTATCATTTATTAAACTGTATTAAACGAATATTTTACAATTGCAAAAATACTCTAATGACAATAAATTGAATTAATCAATTTATAAATTAGTAGAGTCAAGTTCCAAGGTAAAAATTATGAGACGGGTAGAGTTAGAGGTATATGTCAAATTGGATTCACTTCTACTGTATAATAGTACAATCCCTACATTGCAATCATATGACTTTGTATATACACAAAGCAAAAACATTTGTATTGACAGCATATGTGAGGAACTCTTATGAGTTGAACATCACTTTCATTACATTCATTGTATTCACTGTTTGCATAAATATTAGACAAACAATAGTCTAGTACATTTAAAATTGTCAACAAATTCAATGATTTTCTGACACTATATAAACATAGCAAACATTAAAACATTGGTCTTATACTAATAAGAGTGCTATTTATGTAAATATTAATTGAAAGCAAACATTTGGTAAGTGTTGTGTATATAAAAAATATTTATAATTAATGTATAATTTTGATAACAAAAAACACTTAATATGATCACAACCTATGATATAAACATTTAGACAAAAATGCCATTTATGTCAAGAAATACAATTATATTATATTATATACATTGAATTGAATATGAATTAATTGCTAATTATTTTCACACAGTTTTCAAACATTCAAATGCAATGAGAAGTGAAAACAATTGTCTTTAGCGTTGACCAAAGAGTTAGGAACCGATCCAAAAGACAACTGTCACTCAAATGCAATGCAATAACTTGTGGTCAGTGGACAACTGCGGAACCGTTCACTCGTTGGACATCAAAAGCAGACAATGGTCTCAATTATCGTACCAACGCTTGGAGTTCAAGCGGGTCTCGTCATCGCCGCAGTCCCTGTGGGCCATCGGTGGTGACCACCAGATCTACCTGTACGTGCCGGCCACTGACATCCCCACCCGGGTCTGTGCCCTAACATACGAGCACCAGAGGTGGAACCCTTTGAGTCAATTCAGTGACTCTCTTCTGCCGACAGACAGACCGGCCTTCAGTTGCGCCGACGGGTCACTAGCGCTGCCCAAAGAGGGCTTCACTTTGCCCTCAAAGTGCTGGCAATGGGAGACGGACTGGTATAT